CTGGCGCGGCAGGGGGATTACATAGCCACGCGTGGCTCCCTTCCTTTCTCTCTCCCTCCCTTCTTTCCTCCTCCCTCGCTTGGCAGGGCGTGCCCAGGGGCTGAACCGGTGCCATCTGCCTCCGGGGCAAGTTGGTGGTCACTCCCAAGCTTCCCCCCGGCTTAGGGCAAGGTAATGCCCCTCTCATTTCTTATTTTCATGGTGGATTCGTAGAGTAGCCTTGGTTGCTAAGGTTTGAAGGAAAAACTTTATTTGGAAAGAGATGCAAAGTATTTTAGGTAGATCGAATACGTTAAGATAGTTGGGTTTAGTGTGTGCCCTCGATTTTTACGTGTACATGTAGTTGCATTTGCTCTATGTTTAGGTTAGTAAGTTAGTTAGAAATTTTAGTTAGCATGTTTAAGTGTAGGTTAAGTTTGGTTAGTACCTATAGGTTTTAGTTTGTTAGTTATTATGTTTAGGCTAAGTTTAAGTTTAGTTAGTTAGTTAGTATGGATTATCTGTCTATATTAATATTAAATGTTTAGATTAGTGATGAAGGCAATTGGATATGTTTTCTTAGTACCCTCCGTTTTGATAGATGAGCGACATGTGGCGTATGGCGAAGTGGCGAAAACGGGGTCGTCTCAAAGCTTTATATCCCGATGTGTCTTGCAAGGATGCACGTGTCCATACCAAACTACTCATGCCTAACTATGATCATGTTAAGCCAGCTTCACATGTATCAACCTAGGCATCCAGATACAGTTGCCCGCGCCTTCTACACATGTGGCGATCAACGTGTAAGTAATTGTTTCTAAATAGTTCATTGTGTCTTCCTTGATATTTGTTATGAAATTACTGGTAAGTTGGTGGCATTGTATTGAATACCATCCCCTAGCTAATGATCCCATTCTGAGGGATGTATGATGATTTCCTACACATCTGCAGCTCTATCATAAATAGCCTTATCGATCATGCTAATGTCCCTGTAGTTGGAACGCCACGAAAAGGTATGTTCATCGTCCTCAGTGGCTGTGCAAGGCTCTAGGTCCATGTACCGCCGTGTTAAAGTACAAGAGAAAAAAGAGTGGACAAGATAAAGTAATTTGTGAATAGTCCAGGATTCCCAATGCAAAAATATCTACTAGTTCTACCTTATGTGACCAAAGGGTCAATTCTAGAATGCAAAATAAATGACAGAAAATTTCAAAAATACCAAACTAAATTTGTTAGGCTTATATTAACTGGATCTACACAATAGGATTCAAAAGTTACATGCCGCATACTTTATATCTCATGTGTAATTTATTATTTCCTTAGCATAGTTTTGAAGGAAGTTTTTGTCTTCTATAAACCTTGAGAAAAAATACAGTAAGATCTAATTTTTAACCCCAAAGGCGGTGGCAGCGCTCCCTTAGTCATGCTCTCACCTTCGACCTCCTGATGCACCCGTACAACGACTGTCGTGTATCGGTAGGCGGCGCTACTACATTCATGGTGTCTCGGCTAGGCGGCTCCCGTACCCCGGACGGCGGCCCTGTGTGATATAGTAGCGTGGCCATGTGTAGGGTCGAGATGTCGGACTAGAGGGGGGGTGAATAGTCATTTCTAAAATAAATGCGAAATTAAAACTATCGGTCTAGCCAAGACTACACCCATCTATCTAAGTTCACAAGCACCTTAAAAGATCCTAAAGAAGCAATAAATGTGCCGGGCTAGCTAGAGTTCACCTAATTAATTCTAGATCAATGTCACACAAACCTATGCACTAGTACTCAAGCAACCGGGGGAGCTCCTACACAACTAGTGATGCAAAAGCACAAAGCCACCTAAACTCACTAGCAATGCTCAATAATAAGGCTACACAAAGCTAAATTATAGAGTGCAAATTACTTAGCTACACAAACTAAACAATGTGACTAACAAGGTTACTAAAACCAAATTAGCCACGTAAGGGAGCTACTTCTATGCTACATAAGCAAGAAGGTAACTAGCAAGCTACTAAAGCTAAACTAGTTATAAGAGCAACTACACAAGCACAATGTAAATGAAAGTAATACAAGCTTGTGTTTCGCGGAATGCAAACCACCGAGAAGATGATGAAGACAATGTTGACACGGTGATTTTCTCCCGAGGTTCACTTGGTTGCCACCAAGCTACGTCCCTATTGTGTCAACCGCTCACTTGGTGGTTTGGTGGCTAATTGGCATCACCCGCTAAGCCCGCACATCGGGCACCGCAAGAACCTACTCTGAAAGTGAGGGTAGCTCAATGACACGCTGAACTAGAGTTGCTCTTTGCGATCCTCGCAAGGTGAGCACAATCCCCCTCACAAATCCTCCTCTGGAGCACCACATAATCTTCTCGCGTACTTCAACGGAGTCACAAGCCACCAAGCCATCTAGGAGGTGGCAACCTCCAAGAGTAACAAGCACCACAGGCTTGCAACTCGAACACCTAGTGCCACTCGATACAACTTCATGATGCAAACGCACTAGAATCGCTCACTCACTCAATTGGATGAACACTATGAAGCTCAAGTGAGTTAGAGGGCTCTCAAGCACCACCATATAAGACACCAAGGCTCTAGTGTGCTCAACAACCAGCCAAAGGCCGGCCGACACTTTTATTTATAGCCTCACGGGCTAAACTAGACGTTACCCCTTCACTGGGCATTCTGCATACTGACCGGACACGCAGCTTGTGCACACCGGACGCGTAGCTCGCCGTGCACACGTCCGGTCGCTGTGTCCGATCGCTGTACCGCCTCCACGTGGCACTAGCCATTTGAAATAGCCATTGCCGCCAACGGCTAACTCGCTCGTGCACCTGACAACATGACCGGACGCACCTCCTCAACATGACTTGACTCGTAACGACGTAGCGTCCGGTCGAGTCCAGAGAGCTCCTGGAGCCTCTTTTTTGAAACCGTACGCGTCTGGTCCCAGGTGACTAGACTCGCCTCCACGTCCGATCCTCTCTGGATCAACTCCGCGCGCTACGTCAGCATACATCACCACTGACCGGATGTAGGCCCTGCGTGTCCGGTCACTTTTACTGTGCAGCGTCCGATCGAGTCAGCACTTTCTGCCTACGTCTAGCCAGAATACCGGACGCGTTCGGTCCACATGTCGGATGCGTCCGGTCACCACGTGACCAGCGCTTTAAACTCCTTTTCTTCATCAACTTCTTCTCCTTTGCAAATGTGCCAACACCACCAAGTGTACACCATCATATGTAAGTGTGTTAGCATTTCACAAATATTTTTCTAAAGGAGTTAGCCACTCAACTTGCCACGCCACTCGATCCTAGCAACGATGTAAAGTTAGATCACTCGAGTGGCACTAGATGACCGATATGCAAACAAGTTTGCCTCTCTTGATAGTACGGCCATCTATCTTCAATCCGGTCATCAACTTCTCTACACACCTATGACCGGTGAAATAAAATGCCCTAGGTTATACCTTTGCCTTACGCATTCCATTCCATCTCCTCCAATGTCGATGCAACACATGCACCAACATGATCAACAATGATATGATCCACTCCATATCATCACATGACCATATTGGTTTATCGATCTTGACTTCACTTGCTCTTCACCGTTGCTTCGGTCCATCGGTGCTAAGTCATCACTCAACTTGCCCTTCACACTTGCAATCGGTCCGTCGAGCCAAGTCATCTTCTCCATCTTGATCACATGACTCAATGTCATGTCTCATGTGCAATGAGCTCCTTCATCATCACATGTGTGAGCTTTGCAACATCTCCGAGCCATCTTCACCGCCACGACATATGTTACTCACACACATATACTTATGGACTAATCACCTATGTATCTCACTCAAACACATATTAGTTCAACTAAAGTTGTCACTTAATTACCAAAACCAAACAAGAACCTGTCACCGTGCCAGAGAAAATTTGTAGATTCCAAACAGATGGGCAGGCTACAATATTGTGATCGTTAGCGACCAAGAAGTCAGCCCACATGTGTGCTTGGTGAATCCTGTGGTCGGTCGGTCGGTCGGTCTAGTGCAAGACATCTGGCATCATGTTGTCGCCGAACCCTTAGAGCAACCATAATGGTGTAGAAAAGTATTTAATTTTAATAAAAATACTCTTCCGTTCAAAAAAGAATAAAAATACTCTCTATCAAGTAGCTGAAATATTGTAGAGGTAGTCTAAATAGCTATCCATAACAATGGATAGCCATAGACATATGTGTTGCCCATAAGAAATAAGGCTTACCCCATATTCGGTTTGTTCGGCTTCTTTTTTCAACCGAAACAGTGTTTTTTTCTCACAACAATTTAGCCAGAATTATTTTTCAGTCAGTTTCGAGCAAAATTCTACGGGCCGCCAAATGTTATTTTTCTCCGTGCTCTCTCTCACGTTTTCCAGGCATTGATGTGATTTCCTGCTCCCACCGGTCCCACCACTGGTCTCTCTACTTCCACTGGGCCTGTTCGCTGGTTGGTGCTGGTGCTGGTTTGGGCTGGCTGGTGCTGATTTTTTGTGAGAGAAAAACATTATTAGCTGGCTGGTTTGGACTGGCTGAAACCAACCAGCGAACAGGCTGACTACCAGTAGATGGGCCGAAAGAGGATGGACGGATTGGTGTTTTTTTATTTCTTGTGGGACCCGCTATACAGACTACTTTATGCTGCAACATTGCGAAGCTAAAACAATAGCTAAAGACTACTGGTGTTAGGTCCATCTACTGCTCGGTCCATATACATTGCTCATGTCCAGCCACGCCTGTTTCCGATTGAACTAACAACAATCAAAGAGAGGTAAATGGAAAAAAAATTCGAGCATGCTGGAGAGCTACATGTCAATACTAAGGTAGGAGAGGTAACATTGGGATTCCTATATCTAATCTTCCAGAAGACTAAGAATTTTCCCCTTTATTTTTCTTTCAAATTTAAACAAATTTTGACCCACGGAATACAAAGTTACAAACATTATGTGCAGTTGAAATTAGGTTGTTAGCATCAGCGCGCTTCGGTAAATGGTTATCTCCGCTGCTGCCGCAACTGCTGCTGCCACTCGAGAATCGCCGAGCGGAGCGCCCTGTTGGGCGTCAGCTCACAGTGCTCGAGCTTCAGATTCGTCATCGGCGACGTGTCGCGCCCGCTGTCGAACCACCCCGTGATCGCCTCGGCCTCGTACGTGAACCCGTCGGCGGCGATGTGGGGATCGCTCATCACCTCCTGGAAGATTGGGCAGACGAAGTAGGATGGCGCGTGCGCGTCATCCAGCGACGACGGCGCGAACGACAGCCGCCCGGCGTCGAGCGAGGCGGCCTTCATGAGGGGCTCCACCACCTTCCACACCTCCCCCACGAGGTCAGGCCGCCGCCGCCGGCTCATCTCCGCGCACCGCAGGCCGATGTGCGCCAGCTGGTTGGCCTGCACGAACGGCCAGTCCCCCGCGGTCGGGTCGAGGACGGTGTGCAGCTCCCCCCGCTCCACCGCGTCCTCCACCACCTCCGCGATGCTCTTGGGCGGCCGCCCCGTCAGGAGCCGCAGGATGATGATGCCGAACGAGTACACGTCGGACCGCGGGGTGAGCTCGCCGGTGGACAGGAACTCCGGGTCCATGTACGCGAAGGTCCCCTTCGGGGTGGTCGTCCTGTGCAGCTTTGTGGTGATGGCCCTGGTGGTGGTGGTGTTGGACTGGCTCAGGAGGCGGCAGATGCCGAAGTCCCCTAGCTTGCTCACGAAGTTGGCGTCCAGGAGGATGTTGCCCGGCTTCAGGTCGCCGTGGACCACCGGGTGCGGCTTGTTCGAGTGGAGGAAGATAAGGGCCGAGCACATCTCGCAGATGATCTTGGTGCGCACCTGCCATGTCAGTGGCAGCGTGTTGTTGGTGCGCGCGAGCCGGTCCTCGAGGCTTCCGTTGGGGAGGAACTCGTACACCAGGCCGAATGCCTCCCGGCACGAGCCAATCAGTGTGACAAGGTTTGGATGCCGCACTCTACCGAGAACAGCAACCTACAATGGTGACACGACATTTAAGGGTCAGGTTCAGACGTTCAGGTATGATAATTGCCTATTTGATTGAATGAAGATAAAAAAGAGAACGATCTGATGAATTGTTTCACCTCTTGGTTGAATTCTGACTGTCCTTGCATACTCTGTGGATTCAGCAGCTTTACAGCTACAGTTGTGTTGCGGAGGAAGCCTTTGTAGACGCTTCCGAAACCACCCTCGCCAATCTTAAGCCTCTCATCAAAACCTTCAGTGGCTTGTTCTAGCTCGAAGTAGGAGAACTCGGTGTTCAGTGTTTCAGCTGGCAATGGTGCTGAAATCTTATTGTCATTCTTCTGGCGCAAACCTTCAGCTTCAGTTACAGCTGCGTCGCGCTCTTGTTGCAGCTTCTCATAATCTGTTTGCAGCATTTGGGTGAGGTATTCGTTTGCTGCCATCTTCTCTTCGTAATCTTTGATAGCAGATGCCATCTCTGTTATTTGTTGTTCAAGGACGAGTTTCTGCTCTTTGACATCATGCAATTCGTTGGATGTCACATCATACTGTCTTTTTATTTCTTCAATCTCCTGTTCTTGGCTCGCCAGTGTTTCCTCGATTGTTTTGCGCTGCCTTATCTCTTGCTGATATAACTCGTATACCTGTAAAAGCAGTAGTATGTGACTTTGTTTGGTTCAGTATTTGCAATCTCAATCATGGATAATGGAGAACACTTACATTTCCAAGAGCTGAAGCCATATCTAGTTCAGCTCTTAGGCGTTTGGCTGATTCTTCATGTGCTTCTTTCTTATACTGTTCAGCTTCACTGAGAGCCTCTGTGAGTCTTCTGTATATGTTAGCATTAGCATCAACGCCTGGATTTTCCTGTGTGGTACCAAACTTACTTCAGTCCCCTGTTATACTTCATTTATGATAGTTTTGTTTACCTTGAAGTTATGTCTCTTCATGATACATACCAGCTCATGAGAAGGGGATGAAAAGTTTTCATCATCAGGTTCTTGCATTCCATGCGGCATTGCTAATCCAGAGATAGTGACTGCATCATCATTTCTTGATAGATCGTGCCATGAGTTCTGCGATCTCCTCCCAAATTCATCCCAAGAATCTATAGAACTTCTTGATGTTCTTGTAGGCCTGCCACAGGATTCATATAGCCGAGACGGTGTATTGATAGATTCTAGAGATGGATACAGCCCCACTTCTGTTCTCGATCGTATCAGATCGTGCCTTGGACTTCCGTTTGAGCTTGATGCATCACTCTCTGAATGACGGATTGTCATTGATCTCAGAGGGCTACCAACGCTGGTTACTGATGACTCTGATGCAACCGTGAACGCAGGTGATGGTGGTATTGCAGGAACAGTTGTATTTGCCTCCCTGCAGCGTTTAGAGGTATGGTTTAATCTCTTTCTTTGGTATCTTTGCAATGAACTTTACTGACATTAACTCTTTTGCAAAATATCAAGTTGGTTGTAATAGTCGACGTTAAGACTCGAATAAATGAGATGTTACCGCATCTAACTCTAGTGGAACTCAAACCATAGACACAATTGTTGACCACTTCACTGATACTAATGTCCTAGAAAAATAATATTTATCTTAGGAACGTAATAGCTTTCTTGGCTTAATCTTACCTGGTGCATATAAGATGCCCTTTACAAGTAAACCATATCGTACACGATGAAGCTGCTGCCTCTGTCAGTCTGAGTGCCGTCTTGGACTTCAGTGATTTCATTTTCCTACGATAGGGGAACACTTATATTAGGTAGAATAACCATTTTTTCCCTTCTGTTTCCCTTTTTACTTTTAATTCAGTGAGATTTAGCTCCACAATATGGAACTTTGTGTGCTAATATGGAATTATATGCTTTGTTTGATGATGTTTTTTTGTAGCCTTAAACTACAACAAATAAAAACGTGAGAAAGACACAAATCGTTAGGTGTGTAATCCATACTTTGAGTGATGTTTGTCTGCAGCTGCACCCATGACAAGCCTGGTGATGCCGTGAAGAGCAATTAGCTCCTCAAGCCCTTTAGCAACATCCTCTTTGTCGATTATGATTTTCTCGCAGCTGACCTATGGAAGGTAATTTGGCAGAAATTTGTCATTTAAGATACATATATGTGTTCACTATATTCTCCAATTCAATATTGAATGGATTATGTGGTTCATTAGTTTTATTCATGGCATGAGAGAGGTGAGACGGAGCACCTTCTGCCTTATGCATATCTTGACGTATTCATTTAGTTTCTCTTCTGCCTCTGCTCGCACCTTCTTCCTATGATCATTGACCTGTTTTGCATTCACCATAGTGTAATGAACTTTTCCTCCCACTGAAATAACAGAATAATGACAATTCTATGAAGTCTAAACTCATGAGCAGTATATATATCATCATGGAAGATTTTTTTTACTGCATCTAGTAAAGAAATTATGGTCTTAAAACTGCTGGCAGACTCATAGATTGAGAGCGTTTATGCCAGTTTCTTTCAAGGCATAATACTTGTTTCAAAGAGCCAATAACAAGAGTATGTCCGGCATATATTAATAGAGAAGAAATATTTTATAATTATAATAAATAAAAAAGCAAGCAAAAACAACAGGCAACAACAAAACTACCACGGCAAAATCAGGGGCGGAGCCAGGAAGTTAATTTTTTAAATGTTAGGAGGGGCCAACAGTGTTTGAATTTTAAAAATTTTAGTGGAAAATTCACATTCATAGGGGGGGCGGGATATACAATAGCAATAATTTTCAGAAACATTGGCTGTCATACGTCACTCTACTCTACACACCACAGAGAACAAACGATGTAAACTAGGAGGATGAGTAGGTTTTCACAGCTATTCCTCCAAGAAGAAAAATGACATCTGCAGATGCCATCAACGCCGAATGAAAAAACAAGGTTTTTCAACCAGACTCCTGAGTAAGGGGGCTCACGACAATACTACCTCCAACGAGGGGTGTACCACCAAAGGCATCACCATCAATGCATAATACTAGTTCGGCGAGTTTTTTCTGCAAGCAATCATGGTTTTCAGAGGACGGAACCGTGCGACGCGAATTCAGAAGATGGAATGGCCTTTTTGGAACGGTGAAAACAAGTTTAGCAGCTCAGCAAACCAAGAATGAGCAGGTAAGCAAGTGAAGGTATGTTAAGAGGACGAGGCTTCGTTTTGCATGATAAAACGTGAAAAATCCCTTTCAGCTGTGCTGTGTGTACAGAGTATATATGAAAAGCCTTATGATTGCCTGACCCTGACTGCTATCTAGAGTCAGCAAATCATTGCCCTGTTCGTTTGGCTTGGCCAAAAGTATTGTCGGCTAATTTGTTGTCGTTTGCTGAAAAAATATCCCTTGTTTCCAGGAACAGCAAACCGAAGGAGATGCAGATGGTAGCAGCATTCAGATTCATGGATACAAACTCATCTGAAAATCGTCCAAACGGTGCGGGTATTAAGGAAGTCTTACTCATGGGGATCATCTGCGCGGGGCAGTGGACGTGAGCGATGACGACCCCGGAGCCGGAGCCGTCCTTGGCCAGGTTCTCCAGCGCCCACAGCAGGGTGCTCTTCCCGTGCTTGACGTCCTCCGGGACGGCCACGAAAACTCTGTTCTCCACGGGCGGTGCCGCTGGGCTCGCCTCCATCTCATTCTCATCGCCGCCGGTGATCTCCGCGGCGCTGCTCACGGACGTCCTGAAGCTGTACTGCGACGACGACGACGTGCCCCACCGTCTGTGCGCCGCACTGCCGGCGCCCTCCATCCTTCCGCCCGCTGTTTGCGCTTCTCACGAGATGGTTTGGAGTGGATGAGCAGCATTAGATCCCTTTATCGTTGCCATGGCGTGTGACTTTGTATTTGTTGGTCAACTCTACGCGGATTATTAGTTGGTATAGTTCCTCCGGCCTCTTTTTCAAAATACTCCCTAGGTTTCTGAATAAATAGATTTCTAGAGTTGTCTTAAATCAAAATTTTAAACTTTAACCGAATTTCTACATAAAAACGTTAAGATCTATGGTATCAAATTAGTATCATTAAATTTATCATAGAATATATTTTCATAAGATGTTCATTTTATTTTATAGATGTAATTACTATTTTCTATAAAATTAGTTAAACTTGACATGAATTATAGAAATTGATTTATTTGAGATGGATGGAGTATATATACCCACAGCCTCCTTTGCCTCTGTCCACTAAAAAAAAAGGTTGATAGCTGAGTGTTGTCTCGTTTCTGGATTTGTAGTATTAGCACATAACATGCGGTCCGTTGCACGGGCTAATAAACAATGAAAAAAAAACACGAACAAAAGTATATATGAACAGGAACAACAAAGCCAATGGTAATAAACAGCTATTGACATTGATAAACAGGAAAAAATCAATAAGGAAAAATAGTACTAATAGTGGTGCACAATAAAGTGGACAAAGTAAAGAAAAATAGTCAAATAGGCCTGGATGGTTAGTTTGATCTCCACCAATGGTTAATTGGGCCTTTGGATCCGCGTCCTGATTAGGGCGCCCAACCGCTACATGGTTGGTGGGCACCCGTCGTACAGCACCATAAAAATAAGGTGGGGCCGGGCACATGATACGGGGTTCCCCTGAGCCGCCAGACGCCCCCTTTATCCCAACTCTAACCCGATCTAAAGAGAGGGTGCTGCCAACGACGGGAAGTCGCCACCGACTTCACCGTCGCCTCTACAGTGCCACCACCGGGCTGCTGCACTTTGCCTCGTCGTCGCGCACCGTCACTACACTGCTACTACGACTCCAGTGGCCACGTCGCTGTGGCGGCGTGGTCGTGGCTACGCATGATGAAGTACACCACCAAGTCTGCCTCTCCCGATTCATGCATTAAGCTAAGTTCTACTCACTGATCTACACCTAGAAGAGTTTTCGATTTCTACAATGGTACCAGAGCCAAGGTTGCTAGTTTGTAGATCTAGTTAGAGGTAGCAGTAATTTAGAAGTAGATGAGAAAGATCCAATTCGGATAGAACAACAGAAGAAAGAGGGCTCGATTTGGCCTGATTTGGATCGACCCAGACACAAACCCTAACCCAAATCGGGTGAAGAAAAGAAAGAGGAAAGGGGTCTCGGTTTCGAGATGAACTCAAACCCTAACCCTAACCCGCGTAGAGTAGGAGGGGAAGATGAACAGTGGGTTCGGCCAAACCCAAACCCTAAGACCTAACCCAAGTAGAAGAAGGACGGAGCGATGAGGGTACCTACCAGGGCTCTTTCGCCGTAGACACCACCGACGTAGCGCGGGAAGCAGACCGCGCCGTCGTATCCGCCAGCGCGCGCGAAGAAGATCCAAGTCGCCGACCGGGAGGTCACACCACCACGCGGCCTATGCCTCGGGCTTTGGGGTCAAGGCGCAACCGCAAGGCCGCTCGACGGGGGCACACTCAGCCTAGGTCGAGTGTGCGCGCCGGAGAGGGGCCCCGCAGTCGCGCCGCCACGTTCCTTTTCTCCGACCGCCATGGGCTGCCGTCGCGTCGTGGTCATTTTTACTGCGGCACTGAGGATGAGAAGGGGAAAGGGAAGAGAAAGGAAGAGGAGGAAGGGGAGCCGGACTTGCTCCGGTGGCTGCCTTCCTCACCGACGCCGACGACCACCATTGACGCCGCCGCTGACGCCTGTGCGGCGCGAGAGAGAGGACGCGACACGAGAGAAAGGGAAGAGAGCAAATGAACTAGGGTTGCGGGAGGAGCCGGCGCCGAGCGGTTTTGTTCGCCTCGAGATCCATGCCCCGTCGTCGGATTCGAGATCAACGGCCAGCGCTCGCTGGGTCAAAAGCTGGCCTAGGCGGAGCGGTGCGGGGCGCGCGCTGTGGGCCGAATTCCTGGCCCAGGCCCAGGTTGCGGCCTGGGCGCAGGGGAGGGCGGCGCGCACGATCGACCGTGGGCTGATTTGCAGCCGGGCCATATGTATAGGATCAGTTTGAGCTTTTTCTTTTTTCTTTTTTCCAGAGAATTTTGTTTATTTCCTAGAAATAGATTAATGGCTCAAAGAAAATAGAAAAATGAGTTTTCTATAGGTAAAATTCACCTATCATGTTTAAGTTTCCGCTATAAAGTTTAATGTTTATTATCTTCTAATTAAATTCGAACCAACGGGAGAATTTAATTTGAAGAGCAGTTGTATTTAGTAAATTATGATTAAGTTTATCCTCTAATTAAATTAGAACCAACGGAAAAATTTAAATTAGAGGAGTAGTCCATTTTGTTTAAGTAAGATTATGATATTATCATTTTCTGATCAACGTTGATGATGACAATATTATAACGAATTTAAGTTTGAAGATTAAATCTTCGGTAAATTTTACATCAACATGGTGAATTTTTCAAAGAGTAGACTAAGAAATGCTCCTGAACTAAAAGAATGTATTTCACTATTAAGTTTTCGCTGCAATAAAGTAGATTATCTTGTAATTAAATTTGAACCAATGGAAGAATTTAATTTTGAAGAGTAGTTATATGGATTTCAAGTTAATTTATGAGTTTTAATGCATCAATTCTATTTTCTGCCCAACGGTGATGTTGAATTGATGCAGAAGCATATTGTATATTTTATTTTTTAATTGACAAGATCACTCGGCTATATGTCAACGGGCTGCAATGCTAGGATATGTGAATGAAAAGGCTTGAGTCAAGTCAGTTCAGGACAATTTTTTGTTAGTTTACTATTTTCTAATTAAATTGGAACCAACGGAAAGATTTAATTGAAAAATAAAGTATAATTGAATGTTTTAGTCGTTATGGCTAAGTTTTCGTATAGATGTATCCCGCAAGGGGAGAAGTTTTGACATAGTACTTATGCTAGTTAATCCTGCATGGCAGAAGAAGTTTATTATGATTCACATGTTTGTATCTCGCATAGCGAGAGAAGTTTGGATAGCTCTTATGTTGTCCCAGTATTGACCGTGGCACAATAAAAATGCATCGTCATGGTCAATACTAATCAAAGAAGAAGAAAAAGATGCAAGCGTGACTTGCAAAAGTACTGCTAATGAAAGACCTCGTTAAGTTCTTAAAGTGAATTAAGGAAAGTGTACTCCTAAACGGATCAAGAAATAACTTTGTTTACATCACATAATCATGTGAATGAAGTAAGTTAAAAATGTCTCCTCGTTTACAGGCTTTCTGAATAGTTATCAAAATTATGGCAGTAAAGTTCATGCCATATTTTGAGGGGGAGAATATAAAGAACAATTAAGAAAAATACTCTTCATTAAGAGTGAGATAAAGATTAATTGAGATGAATGCGACCACTCGAGGAGTACAACTGTCACAACGATGATACCCCTAAGCAGAGAAATAGCTAAATTCCTAGACCTTTTAAAGTTTTGACAGAAAGATAGCGTAGTCAGCCTCCAAGATGTTAAGGTGGTGCTTAAAGCACCATATGAGGTTTTAACGGATTAAACCCAAAATAAGAAATTTGAAGATATACTATCTTTAGAAAAGATGGGAAGATCTAGGGAGCATGGTATGTAGAGATATGTAGAGACCTAAGACTTGAAGAGAAGAGGGACTACATGCCCACTCCAGTGACTCAGGAGCAACAAGTTTCTTAATAATTGTTGATGTTGTGTGACTAATACAACACCTGTTGTTGGCTCTTTGAAGAAGATAAATAATGTAAACAAGGATCTTATGATAAAGAGCATGTAGAATCAATTACCTCTTGGCAATGAAGAGCAACAATGGCCTCATATAAAAGTGCCAGTAGCTGAGGCCTCAAAAGGTCTCAAAGAATTAGTAAACCAGTTTTTCCAATAACTATGAAGTCTATGTTAGTAAAGAAATTTAAATAAAGGGTGATCCCACCTCATTTGAAGAAGCCATGAGAAGTGTTTACTCGTTTAAATGGCAAGAAGCTATGGAAGTTAAAATGAATTTGAAGAATACCAATGATGTTTGGGATTTAGAAGAAATTCCTAATGGAGCCAAAATAGTAGGCTGTAAAAGGGTCTACAAAACAAAACGTGACTCCAAAGAGAATGTAGAAAGATATAAATCACGACTTGTGGCAATATGCTTTACGCAAAGAGAATGAATAGATTACAATGAGAGTTTTCTCTCCAGTCTTATGTAAGGATTCTTTTAGAATCATAATGGTGTTAATGACACATTACGATTTAGAGTTACATCAGATGGATGTAAAGACGGCATTCCTTAACAGGGATTTATATGAAAACGATTACGTGGCACAACCCAAAGGGTTTTGTCATGGAAGAAAAGAACATATGGGATGCCGCCTGTAGAAATCTATTTATGAGTTAAATATATGTCTCTAGACATTAGTATTGAAGTTGATGAAAACAATAAGAAAGTTTGGGTTTTAAAGAAAATGAGAAGGATGATAGCGTTTATGCGAGTATCAAGAATGAAAAATTCATTTTCCGCATCCTATGAATAGCTGACATTCTACTCCTTAGTAGTGATGTTAATCTATCAGCGGAGAAGAAGTTTTATCCTCAAGTTTCAATGTGAATGATCTTGGTGAAGTATCATTGGTTCTAGAAATTAAAATTCACCGAGATAGAAGAAAATGGGGTATTAGGACTATCGCAAATGCATACTTAGAAAAGATTCTAAAGAAGTAAAGTATGCATGCGAGTAAACCTACGCCTACTCCTATAGTCAAGGGTAATAGTTTTGGGAACTTTAAGTGTTCTAAAACCGATATGAGATCGATTAAAAGAATATGGTTTCATCTGCTTCAGCTATTGGAAGCTTGATGTGTGTACAA